TTCCTACCTGATTCGACCATTTTTCATTTCGGCCGGCTACGGTTCGCCCAGACTTAGTCTCCAAGTTCCAGACACATATCAACAGATAGATCTTGATCAGCTCTATCCGATGGACACCTTTGCAACCATGTTAAAATATTCAGACCATGCCAAAAATTGCTAACTACTGCCTCATTGGTCCTATTTTCAGTTTTCGGCTCACCCCAATTCAGTCTCCAAGTTCGAGACACACATTAACAGATAGATCTCGATGAGCTCTACCCGATGGACATATTTGGGGCCATTTTAAAATATACAGTCATGCCAAAAATTGCTAATCAACGCCTAATTAGTGCAATTTTCACTTTCCGGCCCGTTCTGACTCGCCCAGAATTAGTCACCAAGTACGAGACACACATCAACAGATAGATCTCGATGCGTTCTATGTGTTGGGCACCTTTTGGGCCATCTCCAAGTATTCAATCATGCGGAAAATTGCTAATTATTGCATTTATCATTTCAGGGCGTCACGATTCGCCCAGACTTACTCTTCAAGTACGAAACACACATCAACAGATAGATCTCGATCAGCTCTGTCCAATGGACACCTTTTGGTCCATTTTGAAAAATTTAGTCATGTCAAAAATTGCTAATTACCGCCTAATTTCTCGATTCTTCACTTTCTACCCGTCACGATTCGCCCAGACTTAGTCTCCCAGTACGAGACACACATAAACAGATGGCTCTCGATGAGTTCTATCCGTTGGTCACCTTTTGGGTCATCTCAAAGTATTTATCCTTGCGAAAAATTCCTAATTAGCAATTTTTCGCAAGGCTAAACACTTTGAGATGGCCCAAAAGGTGACCAACGGATAGAACTCGTCGAGATCCATCTGTTTATGTGTGTCTCAACCTTGGAGACTAAATCTGGGCGAATCACGACGGATAGAAAGTGAAGAATGGAGAAATTAGGGGGTAATTAGCAATTTTTGGCATGACTGAATATTTTAAAATGGCTCCGAAGATATCCATCGGGTAGAGCTCATCAAGATCTATCTGTTGATGTGTGTCTCGAACTTGGAGACTAAATTGGGGTGAGTCGGGGTGGACCGGAAACTGAAAATAGGACGAATGAGGCACTAGTTAGCAATTTTTGGCATGGTCTGAATATTTTAACATGGCTGCAAAGGTGTCCATCGGATAGAGCTGATCAAGATCTATCTGTTGATATGTGTCTGGAACTCGGAGACTAAGTCTGGGCGAACCGTAGCCGGCCGAAATGAAAAATGGACGAATCAGGTAGGAATTAGCAATTTGAGGCATGGCTGAATATTTTAAAATGGCTCCGAAGATATCCATCGGGTAGAGCTCATCAATATCTATCTGTTGATGTGTGTCTCAAGCTTGGAGACTAAATCTGGACGAATCGCGACGGGTAGAAAGTGAAAAATGGAAAAATTAGGCGGTAATTAGCAATTTCGGCATGACTAATTGTTTCAAAATGGACCAAAAGCTGTCCATCGGATGGAGCTCATCGAGATCTATCTGTCGATATGTATCTCGTACTTGGAGACTAATTCTGGGCGAATCGCGACGGGTTTTTCAAGATTTTGCTAGTTTTTGCCTCGTTTTTCGATGGTTTTTCGGTTATAGTGGGCGAGGGTTTGGTTTAATTTCACAAAGGTGGTGCGAATCTGATAGAGCATGTTGAATTCTACTTGGAGACTAACATTTCAGAGTTGGAGACTAATTTATGTCGAATCCATTCACGAAATACTCGAATCCTGACCTAAGATATCCTACGTGAATGAGCATGATCTTGATCATGATCGAACATAGGATCGTGAGCAAGAATCAGGATGAGAAGATGGACCGTCTAAGATTGAGATATCTCTGTGGACTGAATTCAGAAAAGGTGACAATCGACATCAAAGAGCAAGAGGACAAAACGACGGCTGTTCATTTTCTTCATTACAAGAGATTTTTCCAATTTTCTCAGAATGTGCAGATCTACGCCATCAATCGTCGATTCCAAGACTAAAAATAACTGAGGTGAGATTATTGTGAAAATTGATGAAAATACTTAAAGAAAAAAGTGTTGATCCAGTGGTACCTATCAAAAAAGCATCTTTCGTCTTAATGAGTTCTATACTAATCAATGGCTCGGACATCGCTCTTTCGAATAGTGAAAACTGCAGCTCTCTATCTAGTTCCTATGAAAAGTTATTCGGAAAATGGTAACCTGCCTTTGATGTGGGATTGGATAATAGAATGTTATCTATTATGTTTCCCTATAGAAAAGATGAGCTTATTCGATCAAATCCTGATATTTTTGAATGTCTTAACTATAATTATTTTCAGTCAAGTATTAAAAGGAAGTAGACGTAAGCCTAAGGAAAAAATTTCAAGATTGGTTATAGTAGATCTATACATCATGAAATTAATGATCCAAAAATTGAAGGTCTGCAGAGACACTAAAAGAAAATTCAATAATGTTCAGAAATATTCGAACCAAAATCAGAGTTCGAGTTCGATACATGCCTACTTGAAACTCTTTTTCTCCAAAAACTATGGGTACAGTTTGATGAATTTCAACAGAAATTAGAATAGACAATGTTTTTCTTTACTTGAATTATGAAACTGAAAAGAAAAACAAATACCATTGATTATAACTCACTTTGCAGTCAAGTAATCTGTATGATATTGTATTACTGAGCAACGTTCTTGAAAAAATATTGATACAAAAATTTCAAGACCTCTAGCATCTTTAGTAATTGATATATCGTAGAAATTAGATTTTTTTTTGTATTATAGTAAATGACAATGTAAAAAGTGAATAATATATTAGTTTTTGAAAATTTATTGGACTATATGAAAGACTGAAATGAAATACCGATTCAGTAGCTTTTTTTGCTATGTTCAATTGTGCTTTTCAACCTATCTGTAAACAATTTATTGTTATAACACATAAATGAGCCTTGTTTTTTCGCTTATCCTTGCTTTCTAAACAATATATTACTTCATATTATCAAGATCATATCATATCTACTAATTTGTCTTATAATAATTATTCTTTATAGTCTGATGATCTTGATAAAGAAGCTTATTTTATTCGTTTAACAAAACCAAGTTTCTATTGGCAACCCGGTGCAATTGATAAAGGTATATTATTGTTATTTTCTTCAATTAAATAAATTTAATAATTTTTTTTTTATAGGAATTCTTTTTTGGTTAAATTATAAAAATACATATGAACATTGGAATGAACAACGTGGTGCATTTACAACACCAACAAGTGATTCAACACGTTTACGTTCAATAGTTAATGTTCCAACATCACCACCATCAACAACAAAAGAACTTAATATTATGTTTCAATTACATATTGTTGATTTAGGTATTGCAATACCACTTCAACAATATGATCCACCAACAAAATTAACAACAGATAATTTAACAACACAATTAATCAATTCTCAACAATCAATATCAACATTAGATGAAAGTAGTGATTTTCTTGTATTTACACTTGATAAAACAACAATATCAGCATGTTCATGTGGTGCTATAATAAGTTCTGGTTCATTTGAAGGTTTTTGTTTTCGTTTTGCTGAAAATTTTCAACAAACAAATAAAAATTGGAAACCAACACGTTCATTATTATCATCAAATATTATTTTAAATGCATGTTGTGTACCAAGTGGAAAATATTTAATGCATTCACGTGCAAAAAATATTCTTAATTCAAATAGTCCAAAATGGTTTTTAAATGTACAATGGGATATGCAAGGTATTGATATAAATCTTGATTCAATTATAGGTAAACGTTTTTCACAATTAATACGTACAATAACATCAACACATTTAATTGAACCAATTGATCATTTAAATAATAATAATGATTTATTATTAAATTCAAATCAAATAAATACACATGATAATAATACAATGAATATTATTGAACATATGGATCAAAGTGAAGATGATGAAAGAATTAAACGATTAGAATATGAACATTTAATATTAGGACATAAAATTGAAACATTAAAGTAAAATAAATAGAAATATTTTTATTTTGTTATTTTTATTTAAATTTAATAGACGATCTCAAGCATCGGATGAAATATTAAAACCAGAATTAGCAAGATATCAATGGTTAGAACAAGAATTATTACATACAGTCAAATCAGAAATACAACTTCTCATGCCTAAACCATTAATACTAATATGAGTATAAGTTTTAAGTAGACAAGAACGATCATCCTAAATCCGACCTAGTAATCGATCAGCCGTTGGAGGATCTAGCGAGTGTCATACACTTATTAAAATTGTTTTTTTCTCATTATCAAGAAATGATCTTGGTATTTCGATTATACTTATTTATATCTATACAACAAAAATAAGAAATTTGTAATGACACAATTTATTACATATAGCAAAGAAACTGCAATCTTTCGATTCTTACATAAAAAAAGGAACAATGTTTTCTATTGATTTCAGTCTAATATAAAAGATATACATGAAGTATTTTATTGTTTATCGTTGGCTTTCCGTCAGCAGAAAGTAGTAAAGTAATTTGAATTGAACTTCTACCGGATTGCTTTTTATAAATTTGTCCTAACAATGTAAGTTTTAATTCTCATGAATGATTCTTCTTCAGTGTATTTTTTTTTAAAGTTTTTCTATTGAGTTCTTAGCTTTATTGATAGATACATTGAGGAAATATGGTTTAGTAGAAACGACAAGAATAGAACATACTCATACTAATATCATCTTCATTATGAATTTTTTCTATTTTATGCTTCAAACTCAAGTTATACTCGTTATTAATCACATGAGCAATTTTCTTAACTATCGGAAAAATTATTAATTCAGATGGAATTAGTTTATTGATATTATTGCAAGAACATGAACATTGAATCAACTCTGACATAAAAATAATACAGTATTCAGTTTTTTTTATATTCGAATTTCATATGCAACCCATCCCATAACTTTACATTACACCTGTGCTAATCATGTAAGCGATTTGTTTGTTTTTCACTTGTTAAGATTAGCTTTGCATATATATTTGGTTATCTCTAATTCTATTTGGAGTCCAGTTTCACTTGAATCAAATATTTCATCAGTAATATAATCATCATTTTGAACATTATCAAAAACATCATCACTATATAAATGCTCAAACTCATCATCTAGTGAAACATTGCCTAGATCTATTCAATAAAAGAAGATATGTAGATTTTCAACATTGTATATATGTCAATAAGTTTTATAAGAAAAATGTTACTATTATTTATGTGATATATATTATAATTGTTATTCACTTCTTTGTTGGAAACTATAAAAATATGTTCATTTAGATATGATAAACAGACACATCGAAAGATTAACGGGAAAAAGTTACATTATATAGGCGAAATGAATAAGTCAATAAATGTAAAATTTTTAGGAATGAACAAAATCCAAAAGTTTCTGTCTTTGTTCGGCATTGTCAATATTTTCTGCATAGTCTTTCTAGAGAAATAATATAATTAAGCAAAATTCTATGTTTGATAAATGAGATAAGATATTATTATTGTTTCTTAGTTGATTCCTCATATGAAAATGCTGACATTTCATTTGAATTAACTTCAGGAGATATTTTTTCAGCATAGCTATTGCATACGTTCGTTTTCTCATCCTGTTTCTGTTCATTCTGATGATTTTTCGACACTACTTGTATACATACATGGCCGATGCAGATATCTGAAATTTTTTGGACATAACATAACTGTTAGAAGAATAAAATTACAAAAGACTTAAAGAAACTAACTACACGATTGAAGCTATAATTTTAATAAATTTCAACAGCAAACAAAATAATTCACTTTAACGAAGTAGTACAAATTTGTCTCTATGTATCTATAAAGACGATCGTTTTTTTCTGTCATTTTTAGTATGTTAACATGTGTTCTTACATATACAGCTCTCGTGTCACTATTTCAAAACATTTTGAATAGAAAAAAATAAAAATATGCTGATTAAATTTAATCTGTAAAAAGTCTGCTTTTGTAAAATATGCTAATACAACAAAAAATGCCGGTAGAGCACTTTCTTTGTTTTTTATCTCTATCATAGTTCTTTCAATCAATTTATGTATTGTGCCATTATCAATAAAAACAATGTTTTCCATGGTAGTGAATAGAAATCGATATTCTTAATATGTATTAACATTATTAAAAGAAATCCAAAACATGTGTAGTACACAATACACACTACTGTTTCATTGCATTTATCATTGAAATTTATGGCTACTTTCAATATCAGTATCTTGTTTTTCTTCACAAAGTAATTCATTGGAATTCGCCGGTCTTCATTAATCTTCATTTAAAAATATTGATCGATTTTGAAGAAAAAATAAATTAGAGAAGATCATTTTATTTCTAATACATAATAAGATAGTAGTTCATCGTGTAGATACTTCTACTTTAATAATCAACAAATTGTTAAACAACACCACAAGAAACTTACTAATTTATGAATAAATGTATTTGTTGAACGAAGATTTACAGTCAACAATTATAGTATTTGTTATTGAACGTCTTGTTACTCAAAAAGATCAATAATAAAATTGGATAACGAAACAAAAGCGAGTGTAAAAATTAGGAATACTCTATTGTACCTATACATAAGCAAAGAGAAGTTCAGTTAATTTTACAGAATCAGAACTAAGTTTCTATGACATCAATGTTTCTAAGGAAGAAAAAAAAAGGGAAAACTATTTTAGGAGAAAGGGAGTGGAGTGGTGTAGGTATGGTACCAGAGCTGGGCATCACCATGGTTACGAGTACTTTTTGGACCCGTAAGCTGTCCACGTAATTTGTGAATTACGTGTAATTCACAAATTATGGGGACAGCTTACGGGTCCAAAAAGTACTCGTAACCATGGTGATGCCCAGCTCTGTATGGTACGGGTGTTAGTGGACGAAAGGTTCATATCCATACCCTTTTCCATATATTCAGAAAATTCATTTATAGATAAACGTATTTATTTTTCGAGATACTTTATTAGCAAGTTATTTTCAAACAAAAAACAGGAGAATTTTACGTTAATGTGCAAGTATTTTTTTTTTTAAAGTGATTAAAATGAAAATTGTTCAAATGAAAGCAATAAGGTCAAGTTCTCATTTTGTTGTTGTGTATGACATATATAGATTAAAAAACTGCTACGGATAAGTAAATGATCCCAAGAGAGTTATGGAACCAGAATTACATACATAATAATCCCTTTGAGGAGACGTAAAAGTTCGTGTAAAGATTAACGTGGTGCTAGTTGAGCGTCGAACTTTAACTGTAGCTGTGATTGGAATTGAATAAGATGCATTTGGATTGAAAATATATGGTTCAAAACAGACATAATAGGTACCTGTTGGCGGAATAGAACTACTGTTTGACCAAAAAATATTTTCTGGTCCTGTTCTATTTTTATCATCTATGTCAAGATATCCTTGATCCGTACTGACTGATGGGCCTGCATTATTCCAGTAAATAACATGATTGTATGGTGTTCTAAGCACAATATCTCCGTCTCCAGCTCGAGACCATGTCAAAGTACACGAAAGATATCCAATACCTACACATACACCTGCTTCACATGTTTCGTGTGAGGTACATATTTTTGTACAAGAAATGCCTAATGTTAATCACAATAAATTCGCAACTTATCTTTTACAGCATGTTTACCTGTTGATGTAGTTGTTGTCGTAGAAGTTGTTGTCGTAGAAGTTGTTGTCGTAGAAGTTGATGTTGTTGAAGTTGACGTTGTTGAAGTTGACGTTGTTGAAGTTGATGTTGTTGAAGTTGATGTTGTTGAAGTTGACGTTGTTGAAGTTGATGTTGTTGAAGTTGATGTTGTTGAAGTTGACGTTGCTGAAGTTGACGTTGCTGAAGTTGATGATATTGTAGTTGCTGTCGTTATACCTAGAAATTTAGGAGTTCACATTAATTAATAAATGTACAATATTGATTTCTATCGATAATTGATACAAAAAAAATAAAGTCAGCAAGTTTTAGTTAGGTCATCCAAAACAACATGAAGTTTCATTAATAGGATTCGAGATCAGCATTTTTTATTTTCAGCAACAGTGATCATAAATATTATTTGTTTAATATTATAATATATGTAACACGCTTAAAAGGACAATTTCAATAAGTTAGAATTACTTCATGTGTAGTTGATGATTTTACTATGATTGTTCTGTACAAAAGGATTTTCAACTAATCTCCTAAGCCTCGAACACAATTTCATTTAGTACTAGCAAAACAAATCTATCAACAGCGAAATGTTATCATAAATAACTGTAGATCGAATGAATTCAATAATATGAATTTACTTGATGTGACCATGATATAAGTAGTAGTTGTCGTTGATGACATTTCATTTGATATAGTTGAAAGTATGACTAGTATTGGAATAATAATTGATATAGCAAGTAACGCTATTAAAGCTAGTCCAGCCAGGAATGATGAAAGACAAGTACAATTTGCTGCTGGTAACCATGCTGTACCTCTCCTCCTGTAAACAAATGCTGTTCAATTTTAAAGAATATATGAGACTACTTACCGATGATAATAATCATTGTCGGTATCTTCTCTTGGAAGAGGTGGAGGAGGAGGAAGAGTTGCTGAGACAAGAAAGTATGATTGTACGACTTTAGTTCGATTAGAAGTTGCCATTTATGAATGATTGACCAATTAACAATAGTAAATTCAATGTTGTTTTCCTTTGTTTTTCTTGATAAACTGCTGAAGTGTACTTGCATCAATTAATGCATCGATAAATATTCTAATCAATGTCCTTAGTTTAAAAATGAAAAGAAAGCAAGCGAATCCTATGTATAACACATTAATATAACAATGTAACATTAATGTTGTTTGCTTGAGATGACAAGTTCTTATGTATTTTTCTTTTGTATAAATCGAATGATGTTTTTTTTTCATGTTTTCTCACTTCATCTTTTCATTTTCAGCTAAATCGCAATTAGTTGAATAAATATCTTAATGGACATGGCAAAGAATTCCTAAGGATTTATATTTTCAAAATTCATAGCGATAGGAAGTCTTCGTAAATTGTGTAAATGTTAACTTTCTTTGTCTTTTTCTTGACAGAAATAAAAACATACATTAAGAGTTAAATATACAGGAGACTTAATTCAAAGGTAATGCATTCTGTAAAATTTTCAGAAGACAATAGAAATTATGCGAAGAATGGTCTAAACCAATATGTTCTCTCATTTTAAGTTAACTATATTGTAGAAGAGGATTGAACAACTCTTCGATTGGTAACAAAAATGAATATTTTAAGCGAAATCAAGACATTCAGGTCAAAAATGATCGTTTTCAGAGGATGATCCTTAAACTACGAAACAACACCATCCTATCAAAAAAGTCATCAATTGGTGCAACAACAAAATATCTTTACAAAAAGAAGACCGTGAAGTAGTAGCATCATGATTTCAGATAGGACAAAAATTATTCTAATAATTATAATTTTTATACATCCTTGATCAGCGAAAAAGTGAAAATCTATAGGAATAATTTCGCTTTCAATAGGAAAAGTGATATCAAATAATAAAATAATGATTTGAGGTATGAAAAAATTTCTTGCATCAATTATTCGTTGACAAGTTTAGTTTTACAATTTGATTTGCTAGTGAAAAAATGAAAACTCATGGCAATAATAATACGCTCTATAGGAAAAACGCATTCGAAATACGCAATGATGACAGTGAAGAAGTAAAAATACTTGCTAGCCTCAGTTATACTTGTATATGTCCGAGTTAAAAAATAAAAACACTTGACAATAAACAAAGTTTGTAAAGAGAAGATGATTTCGAAACATGAAATGATCAGAAGGAAGATGGAAGAAAAGTTTTGAACGCATGTTTTCAGAGTTGAAGGGTAAAACGGACGTGTTTTTTTTGTACAAGTTTTTGGTGTGTCTTTGTGTGTGGGTGTGTATGGATTTTAGTGTCGATGTAATATTGCATAAAGATCTATCTACACTCACGCATTCCAATGTTGAGATCACTGTATTGAATATATAATCGAGTGATTTGTGTCAAGGGAATACAGCAACTGAGACCAGCAATAAACTTAACTTTGCCATCAGTGCAAACAGTACGAAGACTGAGTTTTATTGCATGTGTCAATTGAATTGAGCAACTAGGAATCAGATTATGATCCTCAATATTGATATTTTGAGCTACATTGAGACCAATCTTTTAACATAAACATGTGTTGTTGTCCACACGTTCGAAAATATCATATCGGCTTCTCCTAAATGAAGACAAATAAAAACGTCACAATCTGAAAGGTCTTAATATGCACCTGTATGGTTGAGCTGAATAGAATTTCATATGACGGAAAAGAGAATGTGAGTAATCTTGATGCGCAAAAAGTTATTGCCATTCGATCCAAAATGATGAGACAAACCGATCAATTATTGTATAATATGCATGATATTCATCATCATTCCCAACCCCTTGTCGTATATTAAAAGTCGAATATGCATAATCAAGACATGTGACGTGAAATTAGTCGTTGCCATCGGCTAGCATCTAGGTAAGCGATATCAGCCCTGTTCGAAATGCGTAGCATTTTTAATTGAGAACAGAGCTTGACAATAAACAATTCTAATTCATCAAACGATAAAGTACAATTGCTGATAGACAGATGTGTCAAATAGGACGGTACGATTGATATTTCCGTGCGTGTGCTTTCAATTGAATATAAATAATCACACGAAAAGCACCGAAATCGGGGCGCATACGAGAAAATAGCGTTGGATTGATGAAAATGACAGTAGCCATCGACGGTGAGATATTCAATAGGGTCATACTCTTGTTGATTTTTGTTAGCAATCGAGGGTGGGTGTGGGTGGGGTGTGGGTGTGGGGGTGAGTGTGGGTGGGGGGGGGGGGG